CGATCTTGAGTGCATCTAACATCTCCTTCAATGGAACGAAATTTATTCATTATTTTAAAAGTAAATGCATAGTCAGAGCCAGAATGGAAACATCCACAACTCTCACTAGTTTTTTCTAATTTAGGGTTTTGTTTTGCTCTAAACAGCAAAACTGCAAAGAAAATAACTTTTTTGAGACAAATGCCTGCTTGTAAAGCTGCAGTACAACTCATTAAACACTTCTGAATAGAAAAACATTGTTAGAATTTGCAATTCTTGGCTCCATGTGCTTGTGAGACAATAAATGCCACTTGTTTCTCCTCTGATGACTTGTGGTTCTTTAACAGAATAATCAGAATGGCCCCTGCAGTACTGTCAAAGGAGGAACCAAACTTTCTTTATCTTACTGTGTCGTAATCTGACTGGATGCAATAGCGAAATTTTCCACATTCAGTCTTTTTAGGCCAAATTTCCCCAAGACAGGCTGATATGAACAGGAAAGCAGGCTAACTGACTGTGCCAGCTCTGTGTGAGTATGTGCGTGTCGAAATTTTGAGCCCTTTACCCAATGTCATCCAAACTTGACAGACAGAGGGGGAGCCGCGATGAGATTCCTCTCGAGCAGTCTGAAAACTGGCAGTCAGCTACAGGAGAGGCTTTGGAAGCAGCTCCCGAAGGGAATAGGCAGCTCTCCCCTGTTCTGCCTGTCCAACCCTGCAGCTTGAACAGAGCTCTAAGTTCGTATAAAGCACTAATTTCCAAGGTCTTCAGGAACTTTATCAGAGAACAGCATGGAAAATTCTAGCCCTTTGACTAGCATCAGTCCTGTTTGTTTAATTGTGGGGAACTTTCCATCCTTCAGTCACCAGCACACCAGGACACGCTAGACTATCTTCTCTCCACAAAAGCTATTACTCAGCATGCATCTCCTGCTTGTCTTCATTGTTTCCATCTCTTTCCAACTTTTCCTTTGGTCTCTGCTCTCTCAGAGAACAGAGGAAACTGGAGGACTTATTAGTGATATTGCTACAAAAAGGAAGGAAAAGCAGAGGAAAAGGAGAGAAATGAGGGCAGAAGTAAAAGTTAAGAAATGAGGAACTTTATCCAGCAGAATAGAGATGGCAAAAAACCGGGAAGGTCATTCTCAGTAGCACTCCAACACACATACCTGAGGTTCCCTTCACTCCAGCTATTGCCCTGTCACAAGAAATACAACCCACTCAGCTGCAGTTGCCCTTCTCTGGATGCCTATTTCAGATGTTGAGCACATTTTCAGTAGGGGGCTTTCTGGGCAGCAGCAGATTGAAATACAGAGGTGAGACAATGGAGCCCATTCCAAAACGGACTCCCAAGGGTATTCTGCCTGCCACTGAAGCCACATGTCCCATTTGCATCTCTCCTGGCCTGTGGTCTCCCAGTTTGTCTACCAGGATGTCCTCCAGTTCTCATTTAAGCAAACAGCAGCGGCTGGGATGAAGAGGTTGTAGGGTTATTTGTCTGCGTTCTTTTTACAGAAGCAGGACAATGTCCAAGAAGTCTGGCAGGATGCATCGCTCAGATGCGGCCACACACTGTAACCTTGTTTTTCTTTTCTGTCAGTTTACATTTAGAAAATGCATTATTTGCTAAAGTAGAAATACACTTATCAGCTGCTATTTCCCATTCTGCTCTAATTCAGAGACACAGGTATGCTGCTGCTTTTCTTAGCCAAGTCTTGAGTCCCTTTCAGTGACCCTTGCTCCAACACTAGTAAACTCTGTGACGCTTGTATCACGGACATGGGCTCCACTCATACAACACAAGTGACAGAATTAGTGCAGTTTAAGAAGTTACCGCCTCCGACTACAATGTGGTAATTGTCCAAAAGGTCACTAAATAAAAGAGTTTAATTCTCTTTCCTCTCCCCATTATGCTTAAAGCCACAAAAATACTTGAAACTTGCCTATTTTACCTTGCCACTGAGGCCTGCTAAGAGCATGTCTGGCAGCTGCCATTATGGCCCAGCTGATGGGCAAAGGATCACCAGCTCAATTGCTTCCCACAGTGTAAACAACCACATGCACATCACTTCTGCACAGAGCCGTAAATAAGTCCCAGTGGGCATCAACCAGCCCCCATCTGGTAAATACCAATACAAGTTCATAAATTTAGTCTTAAAACTAGCCTGGCTGGGGCTGCTACATGCATACTTGAGTGCTTCCCAGACTTAGGTCTCTTCCTCTAATATCTTTTTAGTAAGAGAAGCAGGCAAAGGAAGGAAAGTTCAGAGGAAACATTTCCAACAATTCCTTCAACAGAAGGTAACATACTAGCAGAAGTCATTCTTACAGTGGGAACAGGCCAGTAACGCTTAGAGACCGTCAAGTCAACTCAGGATCACATAGTGGTAGAAAGCACACGTGGTACCTGCAACATGCACTGCTAAATGAAACTGCAAAATAACCTGAGAAAAGAAAGAGCATAAATGTTTTACTGCAGTGCACTGCAGTAAAACACCATAAGCTGTAAGCTGTATCTGCAGTCCCCAGATTCATCAGCGTCCAATGCCACACAAAATACTTCCCCCGGAGCAGAACCAGAGGACGGGACGTTTTGGGGAAAACTTGCAGGTGCAGCTGATAAGGAGATGGACGTCATTATAAGGAGATGGACGTCGTTGGACCCAATTCTGTTTGGCGGTAAGGGAACAAGAGGTTTTATACTTTTTTTTCTTTACT